GAACGCGGAGACATACTACTTGGATTACTCATACCCACAAATGGGCACGCGACTTACCAATTTGCAGTGCAGATGGCCTCTTCAAAAAGCTGGTACCCAACCTGGACCCAGAGACCATCGAGGAGTCGACCACAGGCGTCTTCCAATGGATCTCTAAAGTGTATCAAATCATATTGCTGGACAGTATTGGGGAGCTCCGTGATTTCACAGAAGATGCTATTCATCAGAACCATCCTGCACTCCAGACGTTGCGTGATCTGTTTACACATTGCATCAAGACATTCGGCAATCCAGGCTTCCCCGTATGGACGGAGCTGGTGGAAACACCTGCCGCGCCACGTGACCCAGGCGCGGAGCAGGACATTCCCCAGGATCCAGGCAGCATTGCATCCGCAGCTCCCGATCAGGAAACCATGGTACGGATCATAGCCGAACAGAAGGGAATCAACCGCGAGGAGGGTGACAACGAGTCCGCCTTGCAGGAAGAGGCTAGCCGCATCCGTACAGAAAACGTATGCCATGGTGATACTGAGGACGCGGACAACGACACGACCGAGCGCAGAGGACTGCCAGGGGAAAGATTGTCTAGGATCGAGATCGAGGGAATGAGCAGATCGATCGCTTCCCGACCGAACGCCGAGATCAACCGCGATGCCATGGACCAGATCGGCCGCAGTCTTGCTCGTGGTCAGGAAACTCGCTGGGGATCTCGTGGGCATCTCACGATTGACGGAGCCCCAGAAGCTATTCAGCATGATATCGCGCGATGCCGGAATTGCGATCGCATCTTATCCCTAGGGATCGTCACGGACGACGGTACCCTTTGTGACATCTGCTGGCAGTACACTGTATCCGTAGGTGCTACGGGTAAAAGTACCGCCGTCCAGAGCGATCTGGCATACCTCCAGAACCTGACCCACTGGATCAAGACGACGCTCTCCCAGGATGACATCACGAGGTACATGAGAGACGGAGCGCAGGTCATCATGACGGGCAAGCGCTCTTTTCCAGGCAATGAGAAAGATGGGCTGAGGAGAATGGTCAATTCCGCTAGGAAGAGGTATCACAAGTGGGTCGCCTCTGGCTCCCCTCCTGCACATGAGTGCAGATTGATGGGCGAGCGTGAAGACGACAGACCTCTAGACCATCCGTTTGCCAATCTCATTCAGCGCTTTCTCAATGATTTGAAGTTCCACCACCAAATGACAGGCGCTCGTATTAATAGAGGCCTGAAGGCTTATACAGTTGAGGACATGCGCGATGCATGTGAAATTCTCGAGACCAGCATATGGACTGGCCAAGCTGGTCGGAAGAAATGGCGGTTGAACGAAGGCAGACTCGACAGAAGCACGCGGCAGGCACGCGGACTTGTCACGATTGCCCTCCCCAGGGGGGGATGGCACCCGTGAGAAAGTCACGCAGCGCAAGCTTGCCGCGCTCGCTTATGTTGAACCCGCCTTGGGCCCCACTGACCAGAGGGGGGTTGACTCAGGGATGAGAACCGATCCGATCGAACCTGATACACACTCCCAGCACTCTGATGATGTCATGGAGCCACGCATGCCGCGGCATCCGCCGCCGCCGCGCCCTGCCCCTGGCGATGCCGCACGGCCCAGCACCTCTGGCGCGGCGGACCACATGCCCGCGGGGCCGCGCGGCACTGCAGCGCAGCGGCAGGACAGCGATGACAGCTACAGACCTCGCGCCAAGAGGGCGCGCACGACAGACTACGCCGCCTGGTGGCGCGACGACGTAGAGGACAGCCATTGGGGCCTCAGGTACTGGAGCTACTACATCAACTGCTGGGTCTACATCGCGCTCAACAACGACGAGTTCGTATACGTCCGCGACATCCAGTACAACAAGTGGTTTCGCCACTGGATCCCGGGGACATCTTGGGAGACGTCCGCGACGAGCTACGTGACGCACGATGGCCACAGGAAGTGGGACCGCAGGTTTTACGAGAACGGCAACACGTAGTAGAGTCGGTCGCCAGGCCCACCGCTCGAATGGCTTGAACTTCATTATAATACAAGTTCGCCTTGAGCGGTGGCTATTATATACTTCTAGGCCACTTCACTATACAACACAAGTGGCCACACATACACACATATTTTGCGATAACCAAGGCAGCCCCCTAAGGAGCAACGCCAACGGGAGTCGCCAAATTGAGAATTTGTATACGTGCAACTTTTCGTGTTCATCAACACGGCCTTTCGTCTGGCCAGACATTTGCTTTGGTATACAGATGCGTTTCGTAACACGATCGTGTTCATCAACACGATCTCATAATGCATAGTCTTTAGAGTATGCTTCCATCGCGTTGAGAATGATCTAACAGCTGGTGGCAACACCTGCCTCGCGTAAAGCGAGGCAGATTCTGATGTTGCTTTAACTTGCTATGATCCTCTTTCTCCGCCCACCCGTGTCTCATTCTTCTCCGCCCTCGAGTGCCGAAGCGTTTTGGGGGGCGCACCGAGGGGGCACCAAAGCGTGCTTGGCGAAGAAATCGAGACCCTGGGTGTTCCTTCTTACTTCACCTTGCAGCTGAGGCTATACAATGTTCAAGCTCAGCTGCCTGACTGAATTGAGGATTGACGAAGTAAAAGGGTGACGGATTCTTTTCCTCTGCTCCCGAGTCCTACCCTCACGGGCGGGATTCGGGACGGGGGGTGTGAATAGAACCCGTGTAATACCCTCATATAATACTCCTTATCCTCACCTCTCCTGCGCCTGGCCGTTTGGGCTCAGGTATTGGGACTTCCCAAGTACGCTTGGGACTGATCGATCATACCTTTGATCGTGCAGGAGGGAAAGACATCCATCTATCCCTCCTTCCCTCTACCAACGGATCAGGGGTTCTGTACCCTTGTATTTCAACCCCATTCACAGTGAGCAGATCGGCGGAACAGTTATTGGCCCGCGCTTTCCGCGGGCCCAATCCTTGTCCTGGTTTGTTTGGGGTGGCCAGATGTGCGGGCCATTTTTTGGAGCCCGCACTCACCTGTCTGCTTAGAGCAAGCAGGCGTGCTGGCCTTTTTATTTCTGCTGGCCCGCTACCCCCGGCGGGCCCGACCTTTTTTATATATTTGCTGAGCGCGGGCAGATGTGCGGGCTATGGTTTGGCTGCCTTTTGTCTGCCTATAGTGAGCACATGTGCGGGCCATCGTTTTGGCCCGCGCCCTCCGCGAGCCCAGTCCTTGCCCTGCCTTGTCTGCTTGGGGTGAGCAACTGTGCGGGCCATTTGTTTTGCCTGCACTCTCCGCGAGCCCAATCCCTGCCCGTATCGGGTCAGAGCGAGCAGATGGGCAGACCATGTTCTTGTGGTCCGCACTCCTTGCGAGCCTGACGCCTTCCCTCGTCTGCTGAGAGTGGGCAGATGTGGGGGTCTTTTTGTCTGAACCCGCACTTTCCGCAAGCCCAATCCCTGACCTTGTCTACTTGGAGAGAGCAGTTGTGCGGGTCATTCTCGGTGGCCCGAATTGTCCTCTAGTTCAATATATGTTCCCTGTCTGCTTAGAGTGGGCAGATATGCGCATTATCCGCGAGCCCAATCCCTGCCCTTGCTTGCTTAGAGTGCCTAGGTTGGCGGGCGATGTTATTGGGGCTCTCTCGCTGTCCGCGAGCACAGTCCCCTGGGCCCGCGCCCTGCCCGGGGCCCGCACCCGCTGCAGCTCGAAGGCACCAGGATATCATGTCACTGCGATGCTAGTTGGCCTCCTCCGCAGACCGCCGCACACTCGGCTGCGAGCGCGCTCTGGGCGAAAAGTGCACGCCCATCAGCAGGCTCGAGAGGCAGACAGCAGCAGATGCTCCCAGCATGTCCCGGGACGCAGGAAAATGTTCGCGGGAGGGGTGGGAGAGAAAGTGAAAGTATAAAGAAAAAGAGAGATAGAGAGAGTGAGAAGGAGAGAGAAATACTAATCCAAGGGAGTCATGCGGACAAGGAGTCATGAGCAGGAGGGGTGCTTGAGTTCCATGACGAGGAGGACAAGGAGGGGCATGATAACTATGGAGGAGGAGGCAGAGTACTTGGGAGAAGGGAGGCGTGCAGACGAGCAATCAAGAAGGCCATGCCCCACATCTTGAGCATGACTGTGTCGGCCGTCGGAATATCTTGTTGGCAGTCAAGGTTCGTTCCCCACCAGCCTCACCAGCACTCGTTTGCTCCTGCAGGGAGGCCGCGCCAGTCAGCCGGGACGCCTTGTTATTTAACAGAGATCGTGCCCTTCACATTCCACAAGCCCCGCCAGTACCGTTTGACCCTCTGTTGCGACCGCGACAGAAGGGACCAGCCATCGGGATGCCCGATTGTTTATCAGTGTTAGTACCGTTCTCACTCCACCAGCCTTGCAGTCCCACCAACGCCGTGTTTGCCCTTCCAGGGAAGCCCCGCCAGAGCGCACCAGCAATCGCTTTGACTTGTTGGTTGTGTAGGTTCATGCCCTTCCCATTCCACCAGCACCGTCTGCTCCTCAAGGGGGCCGCGCCAGCCATCGGGATACCGTGTCATTTATCAGAGACTGTGCCCGTCCCACTCCACCTGCCATACCTCTCCTGGAGGAGGGCGCAGAGGATGAGAAAGGGCCAGGAAGGGACGAACCTCTAGTGTTCCCGCCCTTGGCAATTTGTTCTCCTCGAGCGTGCGACCCAACTAGATCGCTATGGTTACGCGGGGAATTCCGACATCATGCTTCGCAGTAGTTGCATGATCGTTCCGATGTCGTTCCCACGTACTCTCAACATGTAGAGTCGTTGGATGTTGCACAAGAAGCGGTAGGTGACACGAATACACAGTATAGCTTATTGTTGGGAGGTGCCAGGAATTCATTACAGTGCGTGATTGCGAGTTCGAGAACAGAAAGTGTTGGGTTGTTGGTATCGTCTGCTGGTAGATGTGATCATGGCATACAGAAGTACAGAAGTGGTAGCTGATCGCAAGCAGATGGAAGCAATACCGGCCAGTGCGAGAATAGAAGCTTCGCCTTGAGGTAAATCACATGGTCAGTGTCTGGATGTTGCTGTCGTGGCTCGAACAAGGAATTCGCATTGACACATCCGTCATGGGTAGTAAGACGGACGGAGGGCAAAAAGATAAGAAAGACAAGAAGGATAAGAAGGGCAAAAAGGACAAGAAAGGCAAAAAGCATAAACACAATAAGAGCGAGCTGGTGAACGAGAACGAGGCCTACGTGTTGAGTTGCAAATGATGTCGAGATAAGCGATTGCATTTGTCATGTTCGTTCGGTATGGTACCACGGATGTGAGCGTATACTCGCAAAGGTTTATATTGATATAGCGCATGTGCCTACATGTATGGTTTATGTATCATGCAAGTAGCTCAATAATTTTACGAGTATCGTTGATTCAAATATGGGAAGTTGAAGCGCACAAAAGCAAAAGCTCAGACAGTTCGTCGACTCCCCCTGTCTGGGCGTTGGGTTTCGAGGGTTCGGTTTTTGCTGTTATCCTCCTCCGCATCCTTGTAGCCGAAACTGTGTACAGACAGCCTGCAGGCCTAATTGTTCCTGCATGCTTGTGGGCCAGTCTTCGACCAGTCTCTCCCCACGCTCTGCGGGGTGATCTCCTCCCTTCTCCTCGTTAGGAGACGTCCCAGGCGGGCTGCAGAGGAAACATGGTCATATTCAATGCCGCGGACATCCATGACGAGTGCGGCCCCATGCGCAATCCTGTTCAGCAGGAAATGCAAGACGAAATCGTCTAACACAATCCTACATAGTCACGCTCTCAAAAGTCCATTATTTCCGTTAGCGAACCCTTGGGAGTTCTCACGAGCACGAGGTTTCACCAAAGAGCACCAAGGATCACGCGGCGTCCCATGGGTCCAGCGGGGGCAGGGCCGCCCCCGGCCTGCGGCGTGCAGCAATCCAGAACCGTGCTCCCCGGTCAACGGACACGAGCTCGCGGGCCTTGAGCAGAGGAGGGTGCCCCACGAGGCAGCTAAGGCTCGGACCTTGTGGGTAGGGGCCCTCTTGGCGGAATTTTGTGGGCAACAATGGCCGGAACCCCGCGGCCATCCTTTGGGCGGGATTCTATCGGCTGGATCCAATTGGCAACAATGGCCGGACCCCCGAGACCCGAGAAAACCCGATTGCCAGGAACCCGCGGGCGGGACTTCGTGACCAACAATTGTTGGAACCCCGCGGCAGTCTTACGGGAAGACCCGCGCGGGAGCCCATAGACAGCAATGGCCGCGACCACCTTATGAAGTAGGATGTCAGGGCCAACCATGGCCAGACCGTCAAGCCCAATCCTAACTCTTCACAGAAGGACTAAGGACCTTTAGTGAAGTGATTGTTGGGGGAATGATTTGGCACTCCATTTGCAGTCGGCAAGCCGAATAATAACCACCTTGCCAGCAGGTGCATTACTGAAGCTTCTTATCCCCCGGAGGTCCTTGGAGAATCGCAGAAGTTGATTGGGCACGCTGGGATATTGTTACATGGGAATGGCTGCGTCCCTAGATCGAAGTGGACTAGCAGTATGCCCTGTCGCACAAACATACTGTAGTGCAAGTGAAGACTTGTAACATGTCATCTAACTGTTGATTCCGTCATGCCTGCATCTCAGCCCATTCGACGGATCACAATTGCGCAGCACGGCCACAAACTAGTATTGTTGACCAGCGTACGTGTTGCACCCACGAGCCCGAGTCATGCAGGGAGATTTGAATCATTGGTGAAGGCCCAAACGACCAGAGTTACATTTGAGCATCCAAATTGGTTTACTGTCTGGAATCCCAGTTCCATGGAATTCACAACTAGCCCACTGAGACCCCCCCTCCCCCCACACACCAACACACACACACACAAAATGAATGTTACCCCTACACGCGTCCTCTGTTGCGCATGGCTTCATCTGTTACTCATGGCTTCCTCTGCTATCCGCTTGGTTGTCTGCTTTGTCCCTACACACGTCCTCTGTTGCACAAGGCTTCCTCTGTAGCCGCATGGCTTCCTCTGCTAGCGTCCTCTGGTGTGCATGTTCTAGTCTGCTAGTCGCATGGCTTCCACTGCTAATCAAACCTCTGCTGTCCGCATGGCTCTGTATCCGCATGTCTTCCTCTGCTAATATAATGGCTTTTCGTTGCTATTCCAATGGGGTCAAAACAGTCGTCCAGCAATCATCAAACTCAGAAGTAGAGTCGTGCAGAGCAAAGTAGAGTAGAGGGCAGGGTAGGGTGGGGTAGAGTAGAGTAGGAGTAGAAGTATAGTCTAGCGAGGTAGAGAACAGTTGAGTAGAGTAGAGTAGGGCCGGGTAGGGTAGGGTAGAGTGGAGCATAATAGGGAAGAGCAGGGTAGATGGCAACATAGCGTCGAGTAGACTAGAGCAGCATGGAGACTAACCGAGTAGAGGAGAGCAGAGTAGAGTAGGGGTAGAGTAGAGTAGTTGGGAGTAGAGTAGGGGAGATTATGTAGAGTAGTGTAGGGGTAGAGCAGAGTAAGACTATATTATAATCAAGTCGGGTAGGGCAGGATAGAGTATATTAGAGTAGGGTATGATAGAGCAGAGTAGAGTAGAGTAAAGCAGAGTAGGGTAGATGGTAGAGTGGAGTCGGGTAGACTAGAGTAGCAGAGCAGAGTAGAGTACAGTGGGAGTAAGGTAGGTCGAGTCGAGTAGGGCAGAGTAGAGTAGAGGGGAATCGAGTAGAGTAGGGTCGGTTAGGGTAGATCAGGGCAGGGTAGGGCATGGACGGGTGAAGTTGGGCAGGGTAGAGCAGAGTAGAATAGGCTAGATGTTGGAGCACAGTCGGTTTACTAGAGTAGAGTAGAGCAGAGCGGAGCAGAGTAGGGCAGAGTAGAGTAGAAGTCGAGTAGCTTAGCCGTAGAGTAGCATAACAGTAGAGTAGCAGTAGAGTAGAGTACGGTAGGGCAGTGCAGGATAGTGTAGAGTAGGGTAGGGACGGGTAGAGTCAAGCTACCCATCCGCCCGCAAGCCGTCTAGCTCACTCCCACCCGCCCTCCAAACGCATACGTAACACCCGAGCCTCAGCATGTTCAGCGGTCGTTTTTGGATGGAAAGTTGCTGGGAACCAAAGCCGACCCCAGGTGCGCGACGCTTGGGCGAGGTGCGCCACGCGTGCCAGGGGCGCCACGTGCGCCAGGCACCCCTGGGGCCCGAGCGTGCCAGGCACGCCTGGTGCGCCAGATGCGCCACGTGCTCCGAGTGAGCCAGGTGTGCCGCACACTCCAACCGCGCCAGGTGCGCCATGTTCGGGGCACGTGCAGAGTGCGTCAGGTGCGCCTGCGCACGTGACAGCACACATCGGGAAACATGTCGGCCCCCGCCGTCCTTGTCGAAAACCAATGCCCATCGTTGTGTCTGGTGGGCCTGCGCACGGCAGGCCACGCACCACCACCCCCGCGGTCCCTGTCAAAAACAATTTGATTGATCTTGGGATGGTCGCGCACGATCCAGAATTAGCCGCGACGTGCATGTCGTGTTCTTTTGTTGTCAGGGATGGTAGCCCTGCGTACAGTAGAGAATATGCTGACACCCCCGCCGTCCTTGTCAAAAACAATACACATTGTTCGCGGGCCTCAGGAACATGACTCAAGACTTTGCCCCAAAGTGGGTCTTGCATTGTTTTTTGACAAGGATGGTGGGGGGGGGGGCGCATCGGGTTGGTCGCTCATGCTCCAAATGTCGAGGCAGAGTGCGGTTTGTATTGTTTTTGACAGGGATGGTGGGGGGCGGGTCGGCATGGTGCCCTCATGGTTCTTGGTTGGACGCCGGTCGCCTAGGGGGGGTATATTAATAAAGAACAGTGATTGGGTAGTGTAGAGTAGGGTTGATGGTAGAGCAGAGCCGGGCAAAATGGAGTAAAGTAGAGCAGGGTAGAGTGGAGAAGAGTCTATCCCAGTCCAGTTCAGTCTACCCCAGTCCACTTCAGTCAATTTTGCTGTCGTCTTATGATATACTTGGAGTTTGCGCGGGCTGGTAACTGGTAATTTCGTTTATATCACAAGTGCAAAGAGATGAAGACTATCGATCCGTGTTGGTGCATGCGTTCAGATCAATGTCGAATGATTTTTTTCGTCGTCTGATCAGCATCATGCGGCATCACCACCATCACCAGTACTCGTTAGTAGCTATCGCCGCCATCGTCATGACCACCACTGGCACAATTTTTGGGCATCATGACGCGCACGTCGACACACCTCTTGTTCACGCGCACCTCTAATAACCGACACGCCAGCTGCTCGTTTGGCGCCCACTGTCATCGCATGTCTGCTGCGGAGATCTGCCAAACATGTTGCGGACCCGCTGAAATAGCGGCAATATGCGGCGCAGGTGGGCAGGGACAAGGCCGATCTCGCTGCCCGCAGAGAAGGAGGAGCGGGAGGAGGAGGAGGAGCAGGAGCAGGAACAGGAGGGGAGGAGGCTGGAGAAGAGTAGGAGGAAGGGGGAGGAAGAGGAGGAGAAGGAGGGGAAGGAGGAAGAGTAGGAAAGAAAGGAGGAACAGGAAGAGGAAGAGGAGGGCGAGGAGGGGCAGGAGGGAAAGCGGGAAAGGAAGGTGAAGGAGGAGGACGGAAAGGAGTAAGATGAGGAGGAGGAGGAGGAGGAAGGTCGCTGTGCTAAACGTGGGGAGGGATCGGTTGGAGCCATGTGTTGATCGAGGTGGAGGATCAGGGCAGAGGCTACGATGCTTCTTTTCAGTCCTGGTCGTTGGTCAGTGGTGTGGGCGCGCCACGCCTCCCGGAGGAACAAGTCGAACTACGAGCATTACCAAAACATAAGTGGGCGTTGGTAGAGTCAACCCGCATAGTAAGGATGAGCGATTTTCCAAGGTTGCCCTTGCACCCTACCCCTGCGGCCGCTCCTTGACCGCTTTGGCTGGCCGCGCCCCGCTCGCAGAGTGTCGACATGGCCCTTCAAGGCCCTTGCATCCTTCTCGTACGTCCTTAGTCGTCGCAGACTGCACCGAGTGAGACGGGTGGTGTAATGCTCAGATGGTTCGCGTCCTTCCCTGAGGCCTCCCTACCCCTCTCCCCAAAAAAACCCTCTCGTACCTCATTATTAGATGGGTTGACTGTAGAGACTTGGCCCAGCCTCCGCCAAACTGTTGGGGATGTCGAGGGCGGCGTTTCGGGGAGCAGCGCTCCGATTCCGGGCAGCTCTGGTGCCCCCGCGAGGGGGCCTCGAGCCCTCGTGCTCCCCGAGCCTTCGCACTTGCGAGAGAAGCGCCGACAACTAGCCTTTCTTCCAGCGCCTGTTTGCGTGACTTGCGGACAGGCGTGATCATCCAGCGCCCACCGTCGGACGGGGCTGCGACGGGGATAAATCCGTTCCAGGGCGTTCCGGAACGCTCCCCGAGTGTTCCAGAACGCTCTTGGAAGGCCGCGGCGCCCGAGACATCCTCCAGAGCGGCCAGATCTCAGAGATTCTCGATTTATCTTCGCCCGATGTTATCCACGTCCTGGCTTCGTCTTACACCATGGCTCAAGCTGCGCCGGCCCCGCCCTTGGTTTCGGCCTCGCCGCTGCATAAACATCATGAATGTTCGGAGGTCGGCGCGGACTTCTTGGATGGGCGCTGGGCCCCCTGGCGGCGCCTCCGGCGCCGCCCCTGGCGCGCTCCGCGCGCCAGGGAGAGGGCTCCCAGCGCCGATCCAAGTCCACGCGGAGCTCCGAAAGTTTCCGTTTGTGCAGCTGCTTGCCTTTCTTTGATGGGCCGATCTTCCACCACCACTACCATGGGTAGGAGAGAGAGGAGGAGGAGGAGGAGGAGGAGGAGGAGGAGGAGGAGGAGCAGGAGCAGGAGCAGGAGCAGGAGCAGGAGGAGGAGGAGGAGGAGGAAGAAGAAGAAGAAGAAGACGAGGAGGAGGAGGAGCAGGAGCAGGAGTAGGAGCAGGAGGAGGAGGAGGAAGAAGACGAAGAAGAAGAAGAGGAGGAGGAGGAGGAGACGGAGGAGGAGGAGGAAATAGAGGAGCAGGATGATGAGGAGGAGGAGACGGAGAAGACGGAGGAGGAGGAGGAGGAGGAGGAGACGGAGGAGGAGGAGACGGATAAGGAGGAGAAGGAGGAGGAGAGGAAGAGGAGGACCTCGCCATCCTCCCGTCTCCCCCGTCCTACCTTTGGTAGCGTTGGTGGAGAATTGGCCCATAATTTTCTACGTCCTGGGATTCGGCCTCGCCGCTGTGTCTAGTGCACGATGGGCGACAGCGTGTGGAGCAGCGTCAGCCAGCTGGTTTGCTGCTCATCGGCGCGGCGACCGCTCGAGTCCGATGAGGCCAGGGCGGCTCGCGAGAGGGCCATTCGGCGGCGAGCGAGGGGGGGGAAGCGAGAAGGAGGGGGCCTCTTCTGAAGGCGGCGGGACTTCTCAGAAGCCCTCGCGCCTTCTGAGAGGTTTTCCGTGTCATCGGCGAAGGCTTAGGAGACTTCGCAGAAAGTTGGGGATTTTCGAGCTTTTTGAGAAGGCCCGCCCCTTCTCATTTCCACCTCGGGCTCGCCGCCGAGCCATGTTCGAGAAGCTCAAGGCGAGGCTGCACCGTCTCTGTGAGCAGCTGGACGACTTCGTGGAGAAGGAGATTGGGAGTCTGTTTGCAGATGCCGACGTCGACTCGAGCAACGAGATCTCCACCGAGGAGGCGAACCACCTGGTAGAACAACTCCAGAAGCACAACTTTGAGTTCACGATAGCCCTGCGATGCTTCGACACCAATCGCGATGGAAAGTTCGACAAGGAGGAATTCGCGCGCGCACTACGGACCGCCCTGTTTGACCGGCCCGAGAACCTGGATCTCCTCGTAACGAGCAGCGAGGACATTGACAATGTTTTGAAGGAGGCGTGGACCGACGCCTATGCCAGCACCGACGCTCTGATCAGCGTGCCAGATGCCGCGCGGCTCACGAGGGATGTGCTCGCGGAGCTCGGGCACGCGGACACGGAGGTCGAGATCCAGAGCGATAACGGCCTGAGCTCGAAGGACTCGTTTGGCAACGGCGCCGCGAAGGCGGACTTCGCGGCGCAGGTCGGGTCGTTCGACGGGGACGGCGACGGCCGTTTGACACGCGATGAGTTCTCCAAGATGTATACCAGGTTCCTTGCGAAGGTATATCTTCTACCCGCCCCGCAGGCGTCCAAGGCCCAGCAGTCGGGAATATTCAAAAAGGGAGATAAGGACAAGAACGCGCAAGGCGTGGCGTCCTTCTAGCTAGCTGGGTTTTGACCCGCCTCCTCCTCATCATCCTTACTCTCCTCCTCCTTCCCTCGCCGAGTGTGTTGTAGCACCCATTGTTTTGTCCGCCGCCTCATCGGGCCCATGACTTGATGCTTTTCCAGTTGCCTTTCTTGTTCCACAACTAAAACATGTACTTGTGGTTATCATGCCGCGTGCGTGAGTGGCGAGGGCCCTCGTGAATCCCGCCAGAGTCGCCTCGGACGACGTGCTCGATGGTGTCGGTGCTAAAAAAGCGCGGTGCGGTCCAAGTGTGGACTCTCTTCATGCTGGAGGCATACGAGCGCGAGGCCATGAGATGCGATGCAGAGTGCTGTATCACAAAGCGTCGCAGAGCATAGCACAGCATAGCACAGCGTTGCACGTCACGGCATGGCTGTCATCGCCGGCAAAGCCCAGCAAAGCATGGCATTGCACAGCTTAACAGAGCTTGCACAGCATTGTGTTGCGTGACACAGCATTGATTCACACAGTACGGCATAGCATCGCAGAGGTTTTCATTGTATAGCGTAGGAGTTCATAGCGTAGTGCAGTTTCCACTGTATTACAAGGTATGATATTGCATTACATCGTTACATAATGTAGTATTGGATAGCGTAATAACCGCTGGAGGCAGAGTTCGGGAAGCCCGCTCGTCAGAAGCGAAAGTTCGAGCATTGTGGAATTATTCGCGATCAACATGATGATGGGTCCGCGTGGTGTTATCAAAATCACTTCGCGGAGCAGTTGAGACCCATGCAGGTAGAGAAGACGAAAGAAGACGGTGAACCTCTGGATCAACAAGACAGGACGTCGTTTTGGTCACTTTTTGGTGGAGCTGCTTGGATGTTAGTTACCAGAGCTGGCGTTGCAGTTCATATCGGGTACTTAAAACGGCATGTTCATGAACCTCGTTGGAAACATGTACGTCACATGAATTCTGTAGTACGATGGATCAAGCGCTAGAAAAGTTCCCTGGTTTACTATGTGGCACCGCTTCCCTGGAGTATTGTGGGGATTCCTGATAGTGCGTTCAGAGCAACCGAACCGGATTGGTTGGCGGCCCGAGCAGCAGTGATTGTGATAGCCGGAGTTGATGTCATGCCATCTGGAGGGCTGCGTGCGACGGTGGAGTTTTATTCGCGAAAGCAGCCCAGAGTTTGCCGATCGACGTTTTCATCCGAGTTGGCAAGTGTGGACGATGGTATCAGCAACGCTTTACTGACGCAGGTGATGACATGTGAGATTGTTCATGGGCCTCTTACTGCGGAGCAGATTCAACGATGTACGGACACTGGTCGATTGCCGGTGGATCTCCATGTACGCACTGATAACAAGGGTTTATTTTCTGCTCTTGGCGCCACGGAGCTCCAGGCCCCAGCCGAGCCCCACCTGCTGTATTGATTGCGTGCCCTGCGAGATAGATTGGAAGCGGGGACTTTTTGTAAGCTTTGGTTGGTGGATACTCGCGCTATGATTAGTGACGCCTTGACGAAGGGCGGACTTGCTCGTGAGCCGATTCTCCGTTTGTGGGCTACTGCTATCCTGGAGATGACAGGTGACGAGCCGATTGCCCTCTGTTTGTGCTCTCGTCATCGCAGTTAGTGTGAAGTTGTGGGTTCTGTTTGGGAGTTCGCGTCAGAATTTCATGCTCCGTGCTCTGTCTGTCTGTCGATGGCAGCTTGCCTCATCGAGGTCGGTCGCCGTGCTCTGAACGTGAGCCCAATATATATATATATATATATATATACATATATATATATGTAAATATATACATGTACATATACATATGTATATATGTATATATATATATATATATATATACATATATATACATGTGTTGCGTGATGCCGTGAAGATTTCAGCTTGGACTGCCGCGTTCTTGTTTCGAATATTCAGCTCGTAGATTTGCGCTGAGCAATCCTATCCCGAGTTAAAGTGTAGGGGTCCTCCCTAAGGTCAGGTAGTGACGGATAGTCAGCGAAGCATGGTGTATGTTTTCCAGTGCTGGTTTGGCTCAAGCCAGTCAGCGAGAAGCCTCTCAGGATGTATATTCTGCCCGTGGCGGCCAGTATCCCAGCCCCCAATCCATCCTCCATGCCGCCGAAGGCGACGATCCATATCCACGAAGACGTTCCTCTACGTCCTCCTCCTTTCCCTGCCCTCGCGCCTGATCAGCGCGAGGGTGCGTTCGAGTTCGGTTTCACGGTCGACGGACGCGTTGGCCTTCCCAGAATACCTCAGCGACTACCTCCCACGGACTTGGGAGGGCGCGCGCGAGGAAAACAACTCTCTGAGGACCTCCTGGGGGGTTCCTGGGAGCGTGTCGGGGGCCTCTGAAAGGCTTTGGGGGCCTCCTTGGACCACTTGCGGGGCCTCCTTCGACGACGAGCGCGACCTCGCAAAGCATCTCCTGCGCCTGGTGGAGCACCCGTGGATCAGCGGCTCGGAGCCTGCTGAGAGCAGACAAGAGCGCCGAGCACGACTGCCACCCTCGCACGAGCACGCGGTTACCTACAGATCTGACGAGGCGCCCAGGGGTCAAAGTCAAGCTGGCGACGGGCTCGACAGAAGCAGCTACGGCGCCGTCTGCCTCCAAGACAGGGCGGTGCAGGGGCGCGTCGGTTGACTCTTGCCCGCGTGCAGCAACAACGTGGCAGAATACGAAGGCATGCTCAGAGTACGAAGGCATGCCCAGCTGTTTCCAGGACGCCCGCCATGTGTGCCGCATGGTCCAGCCGCGCCAGGTGCGCCACGTCCAGAGCACGCGCAGAGTGTGCCAGGTGCGCCCGCGCACGTGGCAGCATTCATCAGAACATGTCGGCCCTCACCGCCTTTGCCGAAAATCTGTACACAATCGCGGCGGAGAAACCATCATGGTGTCTGGTGGGCCTGTAACAGCAGGCGATGTGCCAGCACCCCCGCGGTCTCTTTTCAAACACCAGTGGATAGTGATCGCGGGGCTTCCGCGCATAATCCAAATTTCGCCGCGAAATCCATTTGCATTGTTTTCGGGCGAGGACGGTGGCCTTGCGCAAAGCAGGCAGTATGAAGGAAACCCCGCCGCCCCGATCAGGAAAAATGCAAAGTGCTCGCGGGGCCCACGCGCATGACCCAAGATGTCACCCCGAATTGTGTTTAGTTTTGTCTGTTCGACAAGGCTGGGGGGGATGTTGGCATTGGTCCTGGTTGGCTGCTGGTCGCCTGGGGGACGGGGTGCTTATTGATAGGGAGCAAGGATAACCCCTCCCCTGAGCAATGGAAAGAGGGTGTTTGGCAGAGGGAAGAAAGCAACTCGTTATACCACCTTCGCCCAGAAGGCTGGTTGACTTGACGAAACAGACCGACCAGGGAGCCATATTCAAATCCAAGGAGCCAGCTCTTTTGGATCTATCCAGATTGCCCCCCCGCTTAGATCAGAGTCGGCCCAAGAAGCAGAGGTCGTTCCCGACGCCCTCAGAACGCCCTGAAAGTTTTCCGGAACAGTGAGTCTCACATCGTTGGCCAATGCCCTTCGGGGTGCCCAAGTAGAGGAAGCTAATTCCGAAGGTCTGAGAAAGCTCGCAAGTCTTACGCTAAACAGCGAGTCTCACATCGGTGGCCAATGTCCCTGAGGGCCCCACGACGCAGAGGTTTATCCCGACGCCTTGGGAACGCTTGGAACACTTCTCCGAAGTAGTGAGTCTAGCACCACTGGCCAGTACCCCTGGAGGCCTCAACAGGCTGATTCCGACGCCCTGGGAGCGTTTGGAAAGTCCTTTCCGAAACAGTGAGTCTCACACAGTTGACCACTACCCCTGGGAACCTTAAGAAGCAGAGGCTGATTCCGACGCTCTGGGAACGCCCGAACATCCTCTTCCAGACAATGAGTTTCACACGTTCGGCCACGGATTGTTCAGCCACGACACCGAAAAACCGGGGAAGCCCAAGCTCGTCATTCCACGAGCAGCGCCGGACGAGAGATTGTGGTCCGTTGAGGTGAGGAGGAAGAGAGGAGTAGGAGGGGTGCGGGGGAGGAGTATCGCGAGAGAGGGGAGGAGGAGAAGTGTGAGGATGAGGACCCACGGTGTCGCTGCTTGGGGACTGGGCGCGAGGCGGGCGCGACATCTTGCCGCCGACGGCGTCCTCGCGTCTTCGCGCGGGCGGCGAATCGAGGCGCGCGAGCGCGGAGGTGCTCTCTACTCCTGCGTGTCGGTGCTCGTTGATGGCGCTGGCAGAGGGTTTCTGTTTTGGGGCAGACCAATCTGGTACGGGCTGGTTTGTGTCATGTCGACGCGGCGGCAACCCCGCCGCGAGCGTTCAAGGTTGAACGCCACGCACGGCCCAGAATCGGGCGAGATGGAAGTATCTGGCGACCGAGAAGCCGCCGATAGTTCAACGTTGAACGATCCATGCGGTGTCAGAAACCAACGCTGGAGTCGTCACACCACGAACCTGCCACATTTGCGTCTGCGAAAGTGATTTCGACACGATGGATAAGGATTCCACGATTATTCCAGGGAATGTGTTCCAAATAAATATATATATATATATATATATATATATATATATATATATATATATACAGATATATATATATATATATATATATATATATATATAGGAATTGTGTATGCCGAGGCCCCAGAAGTCGGAGCACACGACATAGAAGTGGCCAAAGGCCCGCCACCCCTCCTGCAGTGAAACACTGGCTGGCTCTTCTTCGAAAAGCGCGCCACCTCGGGCCGGGACCCCCCTTTCCACCTCCGCCACCTCCTCCTCGCCTTCGACCTCCTAACCCTCCTCAAACCTCCGCCTTGCTAGTCGCCCTCCTCCTCCACCTGCATCCTCCTGATCCTCGCCCTCTTCGCTCTCCCACGCCCCCTCCGTGCAAGTCGCCCTCATCCTCCTCCTCTTCTACCTCCTCAGCCTCCTCCTGGGACCTCTGTCCCCTTGGCATTGGCAGTGGCCTTCCGACCTGCCTCGTTTTTTGCCTCCTCTGGCCCGCCGGCCAGCTTTCTTCTGTCCTCCGTCCTCAGCGTCCTCGGGCCGGCCTCTTTTCCGGCGCCCTCCTCCCTCGTCCTGCCTCGCGCCGTTCCGCCGGCCTTGTTTCCACCTCCCCCGCAGCGCCTCCGCCTCGCCCTCGGGGAGGGCCCGCTTTGGGCGGCCCGCGGCCGCCTCCTGCTTCCTCCTCCTCCTCCTCCTCCTCCTCGTCCTCCTCCTCCTCCTCCTCTTCCCTCGGCCCTCAGGGCTCCTCGGCGGCTCGTCTGGGCGCTCCCTCCTCCTGCAGCCCGTCTCCTCGTCTTCCGATACAGCCTCCTCTGCTCCTCTCTGCACCTCCTCCCCTCTCTCCTCCTGTGCCTCCTCCTTTCCTGTCTCCCTCAGCCTCTCCTACGCCGCACGCCTAGCCTCGTTCTGCGGGTACCTGTCGTCCAAGACCTTCTGCACCATCTCCTCCATGTAGCGCAGGATCCTGGCGTCCTCCTGGCGGTCCTGACCCTTGGGCCAGCCCCACCTCTGCTGGACCTCTGGGGGCCGCGCGGGCGCCTCCTCCAGCCTCCTCGCACCTCGGCCAAATGCACCTGCAGCGGCCCAGTGCTCCTGCTTGCGCCGCCGCCATGAGCGAGAGAAACGCTCCGCACATCAAGTGCAGGTGCCGCGTGGACGCCGTCGCCGCCTCCCTGGCTAGCTTCACCCGAGCCTCATCGTACCTCGTAGCTGCCATCCTCACGGCGTCCCTGCGCTGCATCGTCCTGAACTGTTCCCAGTTCCACCACCTCCAGCCCTCTCGAACCTCGTGCATGAGCGCGGCACGCACGTCTTCACCTCCGAGCTCCTCCTCGATGGTGGCGCGCCGCCCGAGGTCGACGTAACCTCCGAACCCCGGATGGGACCACCGCCAAGGCGCTTCCTTCTTCCACCCTAAACGACGCATCCACCCCCAGGCCGCTCCACACAGGGTCCCGCGCTGCCTGGTCCACTGGCGATACTGATGGGCGTTGTGCCGCTCAGCAACCGCCTCCTCAGCATGGACATCTGGCGGACCCCGATGATCACGTCCGTCTCCGGCGTGCCCCCCTCCAGGGTGGCAAGGATCGGCACCGCTCCCATCCTGCAGCCTCCTGCCGTTCGGCTAACAGTTGCCGAGACTTTCCTGGCTCCCCACAAGGGCATCGTCCTCGCCATCCACCCGTAGGTGCACTTTGTCAGACCAAAAGTCCGGCAATACATCTGCCTGAATCTTCTGCCCTCTGGCAGGCCTTGCAGTCTGCGCAGCCCATACATCGCCGAGTCGACGCGCTTCGCCTCCTTCTCCTGGAGCGGACGCGGCCTTGCCCCCACCGTCACCACCCCGAGCGCCTCCATCACCGGCTTGATTGTCGTCCCAAGCCTGTGCCTCTCTGCCTCTCTCCGTAGCTCCTGCTCCTCCTTTTTTTCCCGCGCAACCAACTGCGTCTTTCCGGGGTTCTCCTTGAGGCCGACCCGCCTGCTCCACTCATGCCACATTCCCACCTTGTGGACGCATTCCTGGGCCGTCGTGGCGTTCCACGTGCGGTCATCCACGTAAATGGTGGACGGCGGCCTCCCTTGCCTCCTCCCCCTCCTCCTCGCCCGCCGCCTCGCCCCAGCAGCGTGGGCCCCCTCGCCCTCCTCGGGCGTGCCTGGCGCCTTTTTCTCCTCAGCCCTCTCGTCGCCCTCGTCGTCCTCCTCGCCTGCTTCCGGCGTCACTTCCTTCTCCTCGGCCGCCGCCTCGTCCTCCTTGGCTTCCTCGTTTGCACCAGCTGACGCCTCCTCCTTCTCCTCATCTGCTTCTGGCGTCTCCTCGTCTTCCTCCTCGGCTTCCGCCTCGTCCTCTCCGGGCTCCCCGGCCTCCTTTCGCCCTCGAGCTCTGGCCTCGCCCTCCTCACGCGGCCCCGGGCCCAGGCTCGCCGGGTCGTCCTCCTTGCAGCGTTTCGCCACCCACCTCGTTCTTGCACCCATCCATATGTTCAGCGCCAGCGGGCCGAATGGGTCTCCTTGTGGCTGCGCGTCGCTAGTCACCAGTACGTCGGGGCTGATGTGGCCATTCCACGCCACCCACTTCCTCTGTCCAGTCCACATTTCCCAGCACAGCCTCCTTATTCCTGCCGGCCACCCCACCCGCTCCATCAGCCCGCAGGTGACCTCAGGATGCATGTGGTCGTGGCACAGGGAGTAGTCCAGGGTGCCCGCGAAGCCCTGCTGCACAAGGGAAGGTGTTCCAAACCCGATGTGGACCAAAGCCGACCCGAGACAAGGTGTACAGGGGGGTCCCACTCAACCATAGTATGTTTCTGTCCTTTGTGTGAGGAGACACTTCTTGCCGGGGTGTTACATCAAGAGTCTGCCCGACGCTACCGCATGATGTCATATCGCGACGTGATTGCAGATGGCCCAATCTGCAAAAGGGGCGGCCGTTAAGTGGTCAGCGGCAGCTGGTCAGCTTTCATCGATTGTTTGTTCGATGTTTATGACGGTGATCACTTCAACCGTGCTGGGTGGTAGCCCGACGAATGCTTGACTCGTTTATTCGGCGACTGCATGGAAGTGGCACCGCTCGATTGCTCGTTGGTGGCTCTGCAGTCGGTAAGCGGCAGCTGACCGGCGCTTGCTAGAGAGCTGCTCTGAGATTTCTCGTCTACGGCTCACCCACCGATTCCCACGGCTTGTTTGCTTCATGGTTTCTGCTTGCTTTATGCTGGTCTTCAGTTCATTTCTCGGACTGATTATCAGCAAGTGCATTTGCTGGATCATCTGCTCCTCACACTGCCTTGAGCTCAAGTGTAGACTACGGCGAATTACCACCATCGTTCCTGTCGCAGTTGCCGATTGCCTTTCGTGCGTTTTGCTCGCATTTGTCCGGGCCAGCCCTTCTGTGCTATCCTATTGCTTCCCGACCTCCGGAAGGCGGCAAGAGAGGCGGCGGAGGCGGCGCTAGCTACAACAAGAAGGTGGGACGGGAGAAGAGGAGGCATGAAAAAATCACCTTTGGCCCAGTCTTTGTTATTTGTGTTTCAATGCTGCGTCAGCACCGGCTCCGTTATCGCCCGCTTTCACAATCAAGACGAGACGGATTTCTATGGCGCGTGCGATTTGTATTGTTACTGATCAAGCGCCCACTCGCTCGCCACACGACGGTTTTGCGTGAGCCTGTGGTCCCGTAGCTTTCTGGTAGCTGTTTTCTTCGTGCCGATTGACCACACCGTGTTGTTCCGGAGTTGCCGTGCGAATGTCACGACGATAATTAGTATATTGTCGTTGCTGCTCAACACCGCCACCACATGTGCGGAAGTTGTGCAGCAGCGTTGAAGCGTGATACGGCTATGTCGTTGCGCGGTTATCGCGAAGCTTGTTGGGGGGGGCCTCTTTCCGATCTTGTTGGGGGCTTCTTGAGGGCATCGTGGGGGATTCTTGGAAGCTCTCTGGGACATTCAGTTGGTCATTGAGCAATGAAGGGGGCCCTGAGGCTGTCTTGGCGCTATCTGGTGTCCTAAGGCCTCTACGGCCGAGGGGTCGGTCTTACGATAAGGAAGATGGGTACTGGGATGATGATGGGAATGTTGAAGATAATGACGATGATGCCGACTCGGATGGTGGCGCGTCACAGCTGAAGTTCGCTACGGTTCATGCTGCGCTTTGATGTGATGCTTTGCGGCTCGCTGGAGTTATGTGTAGTGCTCTGTTGTTCGCTCGTGTTCCTTGTTGTACGCGTGCGCCTGTTGCGATGAGCTTTGGTTCGACGCGGCTCGCTACAGTTTACGGGGTTTCACTGGCGCGTGCTGGTCTTCATTGAGTATGATGAGGGGGCACAGTGATGGGGGGGATTACGAGGATTAGGATCGTGCAGTGATGCTTGTAGTCATTGCCCGCTGTCGGATGTATCGCGTTGTTATCTCCTGCGCCTTGGGGCCACAAGTGGCATTTTGGCCATCTGAAGGGTTAACTGGGTCCCTTAAGGGGGTGTCACGGGCCTTTTCTTTCACTATAATGGGTCCTCTTGGGAACTGGGAACAGACGTAGGGCCGCGTGCAGGCCCATGCGGCTTATCAGAAGCCTGGAAGGTGCGCCGGATGCTTCCGTATCAAGTCTGAGTTCCACAGTACAGTAGTCGCAGCCGTGAGTGAGATGCGATACACGACTACTCAACACGGAAAGTGAACCGTAGACATACATTACCGTTGTTTGGTTTCAACGCAGAGTGATACGCCAGTAACACATTACATGTTAAAGGCGGTTGTCATCGAGTTCAAATAAGCCGCACGCACGCAAATGCGTTTGCCGCACATGCTTGATTTGCTACGGCGTTGACACGAAAACGGCCGAGCTGGCATCTTGATCTTCCCGCGTCTGGGATAGCGCCACACGCAAATACACACCCAGTTAGATAGTATTGCGTTTGGTTGGCATGCCATCCCAACGTGCCGATTACACCACTGTCGGATTACGTTGCAAGTATACCAGCCGTTTATGTGATGGATGGATTATTTGTTGGTTTTGTCTGCATGGTAACTTCCGCAGCGACGTGCTTGCAAGCACAAACAGCATCATGTCAACCGTGATTCAAAGCGTCCGTGCGTCGGCATGACAGGACCGGTTCTTTGCAGGACCGAAAAATTCGCAGCGCATCATAGTTGTGTAATCCAATCATGTCGCAGAGACAGCAACGTAGAAATAAGTTCTATATTTGTAGATGTGTAATTATAGATACATATATACACGTATGATGTGTTTATAATCATATTCATTTACATACATACACCATGGCTACATAGATACATGCATAATTACATACATACATCCATACAAACAACCAAATACACACATACATACATACACACATACATACACGTAGACATATTTCTGAAAATGAGGGCGGATCTAATTTGAAGCCGGCAGCGCAGGTTTGGCCTGGAGTGTTTTTTACGGCGCCAGGCAGGGAGCGCCGCAAGAGTTTGTTTGAGTTTGCAGCGTGGTTTGGAAGCGCTCTCCTACTCGTTCCCAATATGTTGGCCGTGAGCCTTCAAGAACCTCGGACTCGCCGCAGCGTTTCTTGAGGTCTTGTTAAACTAATTTTTCCGAGAGGTTCCCCAGATAGTTGTTCCGGTATCCTTTCAGCCCCTTGCAGTCTTTCACGCAGCAAGGCGAAATATTTCAATATATCCAATCGAAAATGAGCTTCGAACCGTTCGCTACAAGCTACTGAAAAATTATGTTTCCTTTTAAAAAAAAATGAAAGTAAGTCGAGTATGGATCCCAACGAAAGTTTAAAATACTCTTGAAATTGTAAGTGGAAGTGAATTTCAATTTGGTTTTCCAACGCAAAATGAGCAGCGGCTATTATTTCTCTTGCGATGGAGTCCGATTTTGAGTTCCAACACACTTTGACATTGGATTTCGCTTTGATTTTCGTATTGCTCATGGCCCCCGTCAAGGTCCGTACTCCCCTTCGACGTCAGCAATAATATTCTGCAATTGAAAAATTTTGCCAGCGCCGTGCCCTTATTCCAGTCGTGTTTTGAAGTGTGCCACCATATCGATACAAGGTATATGTACACACATACATATATATATACATATATATAAATACATACATACATACATACATACATACATACCTATACGACCACCCTTTCGGGTGATAAGGAGATCGTGGGGGGGGAGAGGGGGGAGCCAACATCTGACTCAATCGATCTTATTCAACGGGACACTAAGCGACACCACGGGACACCACGGGACATTTGTCGATCTCACTATCGATTTCATTATCGATCCCACTCAACGGGACACCACGGGACACCACGGGCCACCATGGGACACCACGGGACACCGCGGGACACCTCTCGATCTCACTATCGGTCTCATTGTCGATATCACTATCGATCTCACTCAACGGGACACCACGGGACACTTCGGGACACCATATCGATCTCTTTACCGATCTCGCTATCGATCTCACGCAACGGCAACCACGGGACACCCGTCGATCTCACCATCGATATCATTATCGATCTCACTTTCTGGGACACCACGGGACACTTCGGGGCACCACGTCGACTCAATATCCATCTCACGATCGATCTCATTATCGATCTTACTCAACGGGACACCACGGGACATTACGGGACACCTGTCGATCTCATTATCGATCTCACTATCGGTCTCACTGTTTGGGACACCACGGGACACGTCGGGGCACCACATCGGTCTGAGTATCGATCTCACGATCGATCCCATCATCGATTTCATTCAACGGGACACCACGGGACACCGCGGGACACCGCCGGACGGATGGATGGACGGGCGGGGGAGAATCATTCTTCATATCCTAAGATGGGGTTGCTGTTCTTCTTTGGACGCTGCCGATTTCTCCTCTTTCTCCTTCTCCTCCCCTCCCCTGCTCATACCCAGACTTACTCATACACAGATTGACTCACACCCAGACTTGCTCATACCCAGATTTACTCGCACACAAAATTACTCATCGTCAGACCTATTCATATTCAGACCTACTCCTACTCAGACTTACTCATGCTGAGACTCACGCACGCCCCGCTCGCGGCCGTTATGTGGGGATGTTTGAAGCGGTTTGCTTGTTTTCTGTCCCAACAATTTTCGTTTTCGGAACAGATTTGGAGGATGTCTCGAGCGAGGCGCTCATTTGCACGTATCTACGGGGAGCCGCCAAGGGGTATGACACGGTCCCGTTCGCGGCCGCATTGTGGGGATGCTTGAAGCGGTTTGCTTGTTGTCTGTCCCAACATTTTTCGTTGTCGGAACAGATTTGGAGGATGTCTCGAGCGAGGCGCTCATTTTCACGTCCCTCAAGGGAGCCGCCGAGGGGTATTGCACAGTCCCGTTCGCAGCCGTTTTGTAGGGATGTCTCAAGCGGTTTGCTTGCTTTCTGTCCCAACATCGTTCGCTTTCGGAGCAGATTTGAAGGATGTCTCGAGCGAGGCGCTCATTTTCACGTCCCTCAGGGGAGCCGCCGAACGGTATTACACGGTCCCGTTCGCGGCCGTTTTGTGGGGATGCTTCACGTGTGCGTGCGTGTGTGTGCGTGCGTGTGCGTGCGTGCGCGTGTGTGCGCGTGTGTATGCGTGTGTGTGCGTGTGCATGCGTGTGTGTGCATGCGTGTGTGTGCGTGTGTGTGTGTGTGCGTGTGTGTGCGTGTGTGTGTGTGTGTGTGCGTGTGCGTGCGCGTGCGTGCGTCCGTGTGCGCGCGTTTGCGTGTGTGTGTGTGCGTGTGTGCGCGTATGTGTGTGCGTGTGTGTGCGTGTGTGTGCGTGCGCGTGCGTGTGTGTGCGCGTGTGTGCGTGTGTGTGCGTGCGCGTATGTGTGTGTGCGCGTGTGTGCGTGTGTGTGCGTGCGTGTGCGCGTTTGTGTGCGTGTGTGCGTGTGTGTGCGTGTGTGTGTGTGCGGGCGTGTGTGTGCGCGTGTGCGTGTGTGCGTGTGTGCGGATGTGTGTTTGTGTTTGTGTCTGTGTTTGTGTTTGTGTTTGTGTTTGTGTTTGTGCGTTTTTGTTTGTATGTGTGGTTGTGTGTGTGGTTGTGTTTGTGTCTGTGCTTGTGTTTGTGTTTGTGTTTGCGTTTGTGTTCGTGTTTGTGTTTGTGTGTGTGGGTGTGCGCGTGGGTGCGTGGGTGCGTGGGTGTGCGCGTGTGTGCGTGTGCGCGTGTTCGCGCTTGCGCGTGCGCGCGTGTGCGCGCGTGCGCGCGTGCGTGCGTGTGCGCGCGTGCGTGCGTGTGCGTGCGAGTGTGCGTGTGTGTGCGTGTGCGTGCGTGTGTGTGTGCGTGCGCGCGCGCGTGCGCGCGTGCGTGCGCGCGCGTGCGCGTGCGCGCGCGTGCGTGCGCCCGTGTGCGCGTGCGTGCGCGTGCGTGCGCGCGCGTGCGCTTGCGCGCGCGCGTGCGCTTGCGTGCGCTTGTGGGGCAGTAATAACTTGTTATTGCAAGTCATAAGTCGACGCCCCCAGGCGGGAGTGTCCCGCCGTCGGCGCACCGCGCGATGGCGGGCGCCCGCATGTCCACCTGCCACGCGCCGCCGCTACGTCGGGCGGGCCAGGCCCCGCGCGGGCATGCTGGCTTGCCGCGCGGCCGTGCGACGGGGCCCTTCCT